ACTATTAGATATATATAATTAATATTAAATAGTTAATTATAATATTATTATCATTAAGCTTTATTATATATAATTTATTTTAATTAATAAATATTATTTTATATTTAAGATACTAATACTAATAATTTTAGTTAGTTTTCATTATTATTATTATTAATATTATAATTTTATAAAATATTCTAATATACATATATAAAGTATTACATAATATAATGATAAATCTTTTAATAATTAATCGATATGATTTAATTTTTGAATATTGTTTATAAATATGTATATATATATCGATATAATACAAATTTTATTATTATAATACATGTATTAAAATAATTTATTCAATAAATATATATCAATATATTATTTTTAATTAATTTTTTTGGTGATACTCACAATATGTGAACATATAATTTAAATGAACACATGAAATAAATACATGTAATTAGAATAATTTTTTTTTCATAATTATCATTAGATTATTATAATAGTTAAAAAGTATATGAAAAATAATTTCAATATTGATATATAATAGTAAAAGAATGTTCAATATTATGAATATTTAATATTAATAACAAATCAACTGTCTGTTAATTTTAATAGGCTAGTATATATCAATATACATACATATTTGATTTTAGCAAATTCATGACAGAAGATATGTAGTTCGATCACAATTAAAAAAAAGAATATATATAAATCATTAATCAATATAATTTTCTAAACTAATAAAAAGTTAACTAGTTTGCAAAAAAATGATTTAAAAAATATCATAGTTATTATAATGATAATTAAATGATTAAAAAGTAGAAAACTTGAAATTTAATTCTAATTTATACTATAGAATAAGTTAATTTATAATGTTATTATGTTGTAATAATATAGAAAATTTTGTTTTTCACCTTTTTACTAAGAAACATATAAGTATAATTACACTTTATGTATTCATCGATCTATTAATTAAATATAATAAACTATAAAATTAAGAGACATATCCTATGGTTGCTATATACTACTATCACTACATATTCAACTAATTCGACAATGATCAAGTATTTTTTTGAAATAGATTTCATTGATATTAATATTAAAGAGATAAATATTAATATTATATTTTAGAACAGTTTGAATTTATTTTTGAAAAATTTGATTATAACAGAAAACAAAAAAGTAATTTTTACTTTAGAAAATGTTCATTTTTATCTTGCTTATAAACTCGAGTAATTTGCTTTGAATTGTGTAGTGCTTTCAAAACTTTTATCTGTTGATTATTTCATTTTTATATATTTATTTATTTTCATGATCCCACATGAGAATTATATAGATACTCCAAAGAAATACTAACAGATCAAGGAATACATTTCATTAATGACAAAGTCAAAGTATTATGCAAACAAATAAAACTAAAAAGAACACTTTCATCATCTTATTACTTTCAAATGAATGAACTCGTAAAATGATTCAACTGGACACTTTGCAATCACTATTGAATTATCAATTTAAATGAAGACACATTAGAATGATCACATTCCTGCAATACTTCTCACCTACTAAACTGCAAGACATTATACTATGAAATACATCTCTTTTGAACTAGAAGACTACACTACTCATCGACTTAAAACTTCTAAAATTAAATAAAAAATGATTAGATGTCCAAATTAATATTAAACAAGCACAAGAAAAACAAAAAGGACATCACGACCTAAATCTATCAAAGAAAAAATACAATATCAATAACAAAGTGCTCATAATTATAGTAAAAATAACAAATAATGATCCAGCAAATTAAATCCAAAATGGAATGGACCTTACTAAATTTATGAAAAACTAAACAATGGAGCCTATCAACTCACTGATCAAATAGAATTCATGCCAAATTTGTACATGAAAATAAATTGAAATACTATTATGAATAACAAACAAGAAATAAAAAATTCAAGGATAAATCCTCAAATAAAGAAGAGGAATAAACCAATAGCCTCATTCATAATAATACAGTCAAACCCCTCTATAATTACATCTATTTATAGTCAGATCCATTTATAGTCATCCTATTTTGCTTTCCCATTTACATATAAATATAGTAAAAAAAATCCTTCTATAGTCACATCCTCTCTATAGACACCAAATTTTGCTTTTATGAGGGTGGTGATTATAGAAGGGTTTGACTGTATATCAGTTTCACTAGTTGAATCAAAAACAGTTTTAGATCATGAATTAGAATTACTTGAATCAATTTTTATCTATAAAATGTGTAAATTGTTTGGGCAACTCTAGCATCTTGAGTGCAGACACAAAGTACTCTTTGGAGAGGAGTCCATTGGACTTTGACATAGAAATAAGTTATATATGCTATAAGTTGGAATGAAATGCGTGTTGATTTCAAATCAACTTAGATTTAATTAGATTGATTTATATATAATCAACTTGGATTGATTTGAAATCAACCTAGATTTAATTTGGAACATGACGGGGCATCCCGGAACAAGGTTCCATAGGAATTTTTCCAGATTCCGTATCAATAAAAAAAATGTGAAAATTCTGAAATAATACCACAACAAAAGGAATGAAAACGAATGATAAATTCTCATTCCAAAATAATATATCGATTTATTAATGAAGGTACACATTTATCTTTAAATTATATTAAGTTTAAAATGACAACTGCACAAAATTTTAGATTAAATGATCGTGTATTTCATTCTTAGTGCTAGGATGAGCGACATTGCCAGATTGATTACAGAAATTATCATTTTTTGCTTTCTTGGATCATTCTCCTATTATGATTCAATAAATAAATATTTAAATCGGTGTAATTCGTTTAGTTTGCTAGCATATTGTTTACCCAAATTATGCTTTTCCGGGAGATTTTTCATATTGTGCTCCTTAATTTATTAATCTCTTCAGCTGTATCTTCTTGATTGGACTTTGTAATAGCTTCAGAATTCTCATTAATATTACCATAATTTATTGAGTTTTAACTATCAATTAAATATAACCTGAGTTAAAATAACCATATTATTTGATTACCGTTGAGTCCCTGATCTTCATACCCGATTCTATAAGATCTGTTCAATAATAATTGTTGTACTTCGTTGGAAGCTTCAATTGAAAGATTTTCAGAGTGTTATATTCTTTTGCGGATTACTCAACCCTACACTTTTGGCCTTTTCTTCTCTACGACGTGACAGGATCTGCCTTCTTTTTTATATGCTGTTCAAACAAATTTAATTAATTTAACAAATAATTAGTATTTAAAATCAAATATTAGATTAAATTTATCTCAGCCTCCTATATTGACGCAATGCCTATGCATGATTATTAGCGAATGATTAAATTTCAATTAGGGACTCTTTATTATTGGTAAGTGTGTAATTTTTTATTTGTCCTAAATAATGATTGATTCAAATCAATTTCAAGTATGAAATCGTAAAAATACCATCAAGTGAAAGACACAAGCATAAAGATATATTATGGACATGTTTCATTCTATTTTCAGCATGATGACGCAAGTGTAATGTTTGCATATTAAATTGGCCAAAGTATCTAAATTCTTCAAATGAATCGGCATTGTTTATAAGTTTGTTGAAAAGGGGCGGATCACAATTCTATGGTGATAATTTATAAACGTGTGGTTAATTATTTTGATACGGGAATAATAAATTCATTATAGACAAAAGTGATAATACGATTGGAAGTAGAATGGAATGATTCGTATCTTATCTTTCAACGTTTATGATGTGCTCCATTATGTCTATTAACATTATATAGAACACGAATGATTTTTCTAAAAAAAATAAGTCTTCTGCATTATATTTACGTTCCATAAAAAATTCCCTGTTGTGTTCCGAAACCATTCTGCTTCAAACTCATAAAGTATCGGTTCCTTAAAAATTACGACATTTTTTGAACCTGATGGACAAGATTTACAGTCCGAATCCATTCTTTCTCCTCAGAAAAATTCCGAAACAATTCCGCATAGTTCCGAATATGACACCGAAGCCTAGGTATTAGTTTTGAGAAAATTCCGGTAAACTTTTCTCATAGGGCTTACTTATGATTTTAACATATACATATTCAAACCGAGGATTATCGAATGTTATGCCATTAGAGTAATTTTTTATTTGCATGTTGTCTAAGAATACTATTATGCTCTATAACCATTACCTCAGTTATTGGTAATTTACTTCGAAAAGAGGTTTATGCATCTATAAATTTTATTTCTTCACTTTTTATTGATTTTAATAATTTTTCCTTGAAGTTTTTACTACAAACCATAAAATTTTATGTGAAGATTCCATTCCAAGTTTTTCCGTTTACTTTTCAGGAATAGAATAATCCAGCATTATGTTAGTATCTTATTTTGAGATCTGAATTTGAATTTGAAAGAATCGCTTGTTTCAGATGAATCATAATCATAAAGATCTAATGTACCAATTATTTAATGTTTAACTTTTTATTTTTGGGATTATTTGTAATTTAACTGCAATCTTCAAGATTAAGCCTCAGCGGATTTAAGTCTGAATTTGCAATTGCATAATTGATGATTTAGAAAAGTTACAGCAACAAAAAAACGAGATGTGTAAGATTTAGACAAAAATGGACAATATTATGAATATGCAACTTAGTAATGAATTCACAGTTATAAACATTGAGGTATTCTAAACTATGGCACGGATGGGCAATTTCTTTGTAAAGTATATCAGGATTGTTACAAATGCAAAGATTGAGATGTTTGAGATTTAGATAAGGATGAGCAATTTGATAGAAATAGATATTCTAAAAAAATTTTATCGAGTGTTCCGTTTCTTTGTGAACTACTGTAATTATAAGAAAATTGCATCTTCGTAAATTTTACTTTCAAAATAAGTTGAATAACTGGATTTATAATCACGATTAAGTTATAACAGATATATTGTAAAGCGCATATACATGTGCCAAATATATTTATATTTAAGAAAATATATAAAACTTTCTAAATTCATCTACTTTCAAGTTCAATATCAATCCAAAATTCTTCGACCATAAGTTCTTCGGTGATATCTATACCAATCACCTCTACGATATCCCCTACGATAATAACGACGGCGATAATAACGGTCATCATCAGAACGACGACGATATCTTTGCTGGTCATCAGAACGACGACGATATCGGTCATCGTCGCGAGGATATTGTTCTGATTCCATTTCTTATATTTGCAGAGTAATAGAAAAAGAATTTTTAAAATATGCTACAATAAATACAAAATGCCAAATTAAAGTTTTGAAATTACCGTAGTCTTCTGGTAAAAGTTCTGCAACTTCATGTTCAAATTCATCGGGATCTATGTCTGCATACTGAACAGGATCTAGGTCTGTATATTGAAGCGCATTATCAAGATCTAGGTCTGCATATTGGATGGCATTATCGGGATCTAGTTCTGTATATTGTACGAAATCCGCATAATCGGGATACAAGGATGGAAGCTCAGTTTGGTTGCTTATATTAACAGATTTTGTTTCATCTTCGAACTTTGATAATGTTGGCAAGGATGTTGAAATATCAACGAATGCTTCGATTAAAAAGGAAATGAAAACAATAGTTATAGAGGATTTCATTTTGTTGAAATATATTATTGAGTAATATGCTATTTGATTGGTGAGTGTAAGAAATTGTACTCAGTTTTGGGATGAAGTAAAAAGAATGCATGGTTATATAGTTGTTGAAAGTGAATTAATCATTTTTAAAATCTATATCTGCATATTTATCTAATTTCTTATAATCTTATATATGCATATTTATCTTTTATTATCGTTATATCGTACTTATATAATATAAGTTTATTATGTTCTTACTTACCTGCGCGCTTTTCTAATTAATCAATAAATCTTAAGTCACTCTCTTAAAGAAATCAAAATTTATGCAAGCCTTTCCGGCATTAGCTTGAAAATATTAAAAATATAGCGCATGATGAACGGTTTAACAAAAGCCCGATAACTTTTTATTGCTCTGAAAACAATGTTGTGCAATTAAACTTTAGATTTTTGGAGTTATGGTGTATAACACCCTAACCCATCAATAAACTGTAACTAAGAAATAAATCCAAATATAATATAATGGGCGGGCCTTTCTTGATCATATTTACGGATTAAATTCTATGTTAATAAGGTTATTTGATTCATGAATACAATCTATCAATAAGTTTAGATGTTATCGAAATTGGACCAGTCCAAAATAGAGGGATATTGTATTTTAGAAAATTCAATAGTTATTGAAAGTTTGTTACCTCCAAAATATTTAGTAAATGTAATACATATAATTTGTATACAGTTGCTTTGAGTTACTTGATTAAATTTTGTTACAGCACCTCTAACTTGATCATTCATATAATTTGTATTATTTGGTATCAATAATATAAGTTGTGCAATTTTCAATAAGAACCTGGATAATAATATAGCAGAAAATTTTTTATCTCTGAAAATGCAATATCAGGTGCAATTTTGTTAAATTCCAAAACATAAAGCATTCAACAGATATTTTTTCACCTTGCCCTGATGCATTCGCCATAATTCCAAATTAAAATAATCAGATTGATTGGCTTGTTAAATATATTTTTCTGATACTCCTCGATGCCAACGGCTAATATTGCTGCAGAAACCTAAGATTGAGCATTATCTCCAGTTAAAATATTGAAATAACTTTTATACTTGCAGCTGCTGCAGTAAAGGACATTTGACCGACTTGAGAAACTTGAACAGCAATTTTAATAAAATCTTAATTTTATTCTCTTAGATCTTAGCAATTTTTTGATATTTTGCTTGAGTTGTTTTTTCTGTTTAATTAATGCATCAAATGATTTTGTGTGTGAAGAGAGTCAGTGACATATAAAAAGCCTTGTTTTGTATATATGGTGACCCTTTTTCTATGTGGATATCTCATATGGTGCATACCATCTAAAGTCATCAAACGTTTGTATTTTATAAAATGTTTAAACTTCTCAACTAAGAAGTAAATTCAAAATTTAATCCGTAAATATGGTAGAATAAGCCTTTTTCTACCATATTTACAGATTAAATTTTGAATTTACTTCTTAGTTGAGAAGTTTAAACATTTTATAAAATACAAACGTTTGATGACTTTAGATGGTATGCACCATACGTAGTATGAAATGGTGGAATGCTGATTGACAAGCATTGCATCACGTATTTTAGATAAATTAATATCGAGAATAGTCTTAACCGGTGGTTTTTTTTAAATGAAATTATTTCTTGAATGATAGCTTGGCAATAATTCAACTTGTGTTTCTTGGCAAGTGAATTGCGTTTGGATAATTTTGGCATACTATAAAATTTCGTTTAAAAGATTCACTACTGTAACTAATTATCAAATCATAGTAAAAATTATTCTACAAATTCTACAAAATATTTCTTTAAGTCACAGATTCAAATTTCCTCTCATTAAAGTCAATTCGGAATAAACACTACATTGATTTCAAACTTTAAAGACAAATATTCATTGCAATAGATTTATTGCTCATGGTTCATGAACAATTAAAAATTTGCTCTGTAACTTTCTTTTGTTAAATTGAGCCAATTGTTTTCAACAAAAATTACAGGGTGACTCAATTTTTCGCGGACCATTTTTTATTAGCAGAAATATAATACAGATTACGTGCGTTGACTTTTGTGTAATACAGATTCTTATTACGTATTACAGTCCGAACGGAAAGTAATGACGGTTAATTTTTTTTAAAGAAAAGAGAATTTCTTAAAGAACGACTACACAAAAAAATTCATTTCTGGAATGCCTCTGGGTAGGGCATCATGCTCTTAAAAATCAACACGTGATACATTCTTCGTCCATGTCAAAGCAGGCCTGAATGCCATTTGACATATCAAAAAAATCATAATAACTATTACTGGTAAAGTTATTTCAACTTACTCTTCACGAATTTGATTTTATATATTGTTTTAATATTAACGTTAATAATAATCGACTCTATCACCGAAATTCTGGGTACGAACATGCATTATTTATACATGTACAATAAATCTATTTATAGACTAATTTTGGTCACAATGTACCAAATACATGAACATATCAATATATGTACACTGGTGGACAAAAGTCTGGAATCGGGCAATGATCGACGAAATAAGGGTAATTTCAAATGTCTATTGTGCAACAAGGAAGGGTTCAATTACGACGCACTTTAGTTCATTAGAAAGCTGAAATCTCAAGCTTTCAAACAAACTAAAAAAACTGATGTCAAACTCGTCAAAATTGCTCGATGCTTGGAAGTGTTGTTTTTCCGAAAAAGCAATTGGATACTCTAGGACGACCCAAATCTACTGTTCATAATGTTATTAATAAATACAAAGAGTTTGACCAAAACTACAGTTGCCGCCCGGAGCGGTAGACCACGAAAATTAGATGATATAGTTATTTGAAGATTAATTAATATTGTTAAAGAAGATCGACAACAAGCAGTTGACGAAATTACTGAAAAATTCAATACTGCTATGACTGTTTCTGTACTCTTCACGAATCTGGGTTTTATGGTCGAGCTGGGTTGAGAAAACCTTTTATATCTGAGGAAAATCGTCAAAAGCGAGTAAAGTGGTGTTTAGAAAGAAAAGATTGGATTAATGAATGGGAATTAGTAATTTGGAGTGATGAATCAAGATACCTAATATTCCGAAATGATTCTCGACAATGGATTTGGCGCCGACCGCATGAAAAATACGATGTTGATTGCCTTCTTCCTAGTATGAAATCGGGTAATCAGGGAGTAATGGTATGGGGATGTTTTACTCAAAATGTACTTGGAAGTTAACGGCACAATAAACGGTCCAAAGTATATAGAAATAACGGAACAAATCTTCTGCCATTTCTAAATGATTTGCCAGCTAGTTCTGTTCAAGATGATAATGCTTCAGTTCACAGATATCGTCCAGCTAGTAAGTGGAAAGAGGAAAATTTAATAACTTCACTTCCACGACCTGTCCAGAGCCCTGATCTAAATCCAATTGAGCATTTGTGAGATGTTTTGGAAAGACGAATTCGTGCACGTCCAACTCACCCCAGAAATCTAGAAGAATTGATGGATGCACTTACGGAGGAATGGGAAACAATTGAACCAAAAGTTTTAAGAAATTTGGTTGAAAGTATGCCGAGAAGAGTACAAGCTGTAATTGAGGCAAATGGGTACCAACCCGGTATTAAAATAGATGTATTTTTTATAGAGGTCGAGTAATATTAAAGTATCCCAAAATGTCACGATCTACGTTATTGATCGTTTCCCGATTCCAGACTTTTATCCACTTACGTATGTTGAGTGAACATGTATCGGTATCTTAAATATATATACATGTACGTAGTAACAAAATAGACCAACATTGGTGGAGATCTTGCCGTTTAAAGATATTCCGATTTTTAATTTGGAACGTACGTATATAGCTAGCTGACTGTATTAATTAATAATCAAATCATATTGATTGTCCAAAACAACCTCTTGATTCCCAACAATGTTTAAAGAGTGAAATAATACAGTATATTACAATGATTTCTTTTTTAGATTCGAAGTTCAAAAATAAAAATGGGAAAAAACATCCTCTTACACCTTATTTTATAATTTCTAAAGAAAAAACTAAATTTGTGTGTCCCGGATTTAGATATTTTGATATTATGTATTATAATAGTCATGTCAATTTATTTGAACTGGTTCAAATAAAAAGTATATGTATTGTCTAGTGTAATCATGACCAGAGTTCAACAGTTCAACTAATGACATCACGTAACAACACTGAAGGATGGAGATAAATTTCGGAATAGAAATGCCATAGATTATTTCACACTAACCTATTTTTTTTAGAGAGGAAGTCATCTATATGGTTCCGCGATTATTTTCCAATTAAGGATGTTAATTGTTTGGTTGAACCAAAGGCGTTTCAAATTTATGAAACCATTAAGACTACGGTTTCTTATTTGCTACTACGTACTTAGTTCATATTCATTACATGTACTATGTTAGGTTTTTCTAAATATAAAAATTTTCGATTATATGGCAAACAAAAATAGCTATCGTTATGTTTCATTTGTTTTGAATTGTGCCATGACACAGATTTGGTAAGTACGTAATGAAATCTACCGCTACTTAAAAGGGTGTTCATTTTAATCAGTGTAAACTTGCAGTTCAAAAATGAGACTTCCATTATCAATTATATTATTAATTGTCATAATCTTATTATTGCTTCAATCAGCAAATGGGTACAATACACTGGCATACACTGAACCTGGTCACGATTTTGTACAAGTATACACAAAAGATAAAGCATTACTATACGAAGATGGAACTGCGCTCGTCCGATTAACCTTCGGCGAATCAAACCCACAAATGATTTACTTACGACTCATTTATCAAAATGGATCAATGACTCCGATTGACGTTGAAATCTCAAGAAATCGATCAGAAAATTATCAAGTGACGATTTATCCGTTATCGGTTGGTTATATCTTTGCAGCAATAGATAATCTAACAACGAACGCGACAGAGGGAATGTTGATATCTTGGAATGGACAAATTTTACAAAGGTAACAATATAGCAAATACATAAAACCAAATGATCAATACGAATAATTTTATCATATTATTATACTATTATCACAGAGGCATTGACTTGGGTCCATATATAAAATTCAAATCTTCTTCTTATGCACAACTCAATGTTAATACGGCAAAGAATTTTCTCTGGGTGACCCAAGGACCTGCAAATAGTAACATGATTTTTTGGACTTTATTTAGTTCAGTGTGTGTATTAATTTTCAATTTTAATTTGCTCATTACCTTCTATTATCTAATTCATAGTATGGGATTTATTTGATAATTAGGGGCTCAAATCAGACCATCTCTCAACTCAAAAGTGGCAAATTGAATGCATCAGCTGGACTATTATTAAGAGAAACCTCTGGATGGGGAGTATTTCCAACTATTGAAGGAGGATTTGGAATTGCCTATCTAGCACGTAACCCAAATATCAACATAACAACCCCAGTAAGCGCAATAAATAATGCAACAAATTTGGGCAAGCCAGTGATTCCTTCGTGGTATTTGCATGTGGTCTTTCTCGAGGTAGATGCTGATGAATTCACAAATCCAATAATCGTTTATCAAACGCCAGTCATCATGGATATAAACTTTATGTTGGCTTACTTAGCTTTAGACGGAACTGGTTATGGAGCCGTATTTTGTGCTTTCACAGCAGATGACCAAATCTATATGCGCATCTCTTTTCTGTCAGGTGGTGCCGTCACAAACATCTCAAAATTATTAGCAGTTGATGGAGATAAATTTTATTATGAGCATATTATTCCTCTCCCATATGGTGGGTTTTTGTTTATGGTCAATGATGGCTATCGTGACGATTACTCGGTGGGGCTCACCTTGGATAATAATGGAAATGGCAACCAAACCTGGTCCCTTCCTCGTAATACATCAAATCAACTAGTTGGTGTCTACAAAAATAACACGGTCTGGACTCCATTAGAAGGAGCAAATGGTACATGGGTTATATTGTCCGCTCCCTTGCCACGGTTCATGCCGGATGGTAAATATGAATTCATTACGTAAATTAAAGAACAATAAATCTCTTTATACTGATTTTCCATTTTTGGATGTCTTTTGAACTAGACAACGGATACAAAAATCCAAATATTGAATCCACTTTGCCTAAATTGAATGCATCTGTTTCTTATAAAATACCCAAATTCTCAATTAAATACCGTGAAGAGATCCTCCTCTCATCAGGAAACATATCCATATACCAAACAAACGGTACCTCCCAAATTTTGCGACAAAGTTTTACTTCACAGCCTTGCTTTATAGAAGGAGATGACGGAAAGACTGTAACTTGCCCGGTCTTAACCAGCACCTTCAATCAACCACAAACGGCTTATTATATAATGATTGACAATAATTTTGTCAAGAATAAGTCCTCGAACCAACCTCAATTCGGAATCGAAAAGAATACCTGGATAATGAGAACAGGTTTGTGTTTCCCCAATCATAAATTTCAATATCATAATATACTTTCTTTATGAAACTCTGCTCATTGCTATGATATTTTTACACCAATAGAAAAAAGAGAAACCGAATTTGCAGGTATAGCAACAGAATACATCTCTTTTTATCTTGCGCTTTCAGTTTTACTATATCTATTAACTGATCTTAGATTCTGTCAATGCATTGTTGAGATTGACCGTCGAAGGTACTAAATACTTCGAAGATCTTTCTGCGAATCGGAAAAATAAGTTCTTTGAGGACTTGCAAAACGAGTTAGCACTTATAATACCAGTCGACCTCTCTCGATTATCGACCACTAAACGTTACCAATATGATCCGTCGACCTCAAAAAGTCAAATCCTTCTTCCATTAAAGTTTCAATCGACACACGACCTTGACCAGCTAAGTACCTATGATATTACTGACAGCTTGGATACCCTTATTAGAAACAAAGGCATTACTGCCATGTCAAATTCTGATAATGCAAAATATCTAGATGAAGATTACGGTCTTAATCGACGACGTGAGTATTTTGTTCTAAACAATTCTTACAAATATAGAACTTATTTTCGTTTTATTAAACTCTTTCAATCCCCAGCGAATCTATGGGACGAAATCAAATTCATATTGATCGGGGTTCTAGCCGGAGTTATTATTCTAGTTATACTATACTTTTTGGCAAAACGAAAACATAAGGAGGTGCTTTATTTCTTTGATTCATTTTATGTATCTTTCCAAAAGCATCTATTAACAGAAAAAATGAAAATAGGGACGAAATTTCGAAATATTTAAGATAATTCTGATTATTGTGGATTTGGCGTTTGATATTTCATTCATAATAAACAATGGCAGAGATGTGCGTTGGCTATTTGTTCCAAGGTTTGAAATTTCACATTTCATTGCGTCGATTATATCCAATTTAACACCATTCTCATTGTAAAAACTGGCATTATAGCATCATTTTTCTCGCCGTCCCTGTTGCTTTTAACGCAACATTAGCTTTCTCCATTTTGTTTTCAGAAATCTCGACTAATGAAAATTTTCATGAATGGTTTCAAAAGTTCACGAAACCCGCTGCACTCTTTACACTTCTCGCATCGTCCGATGTCGAACTTCTTACTATCTTGACTTCACAAATCGCGGGATTATCAATATTCAGTGCGACTCTATCTGATAGGGCACATCATTGGATATTTTGGGTGAGCTCTTGCAATCTCATAATTGAGGATATCCCACAATTGATTATACAGGTAAATCACGTTTTTGGACTTTCATTCGAAGAAAATGATCACCAATTCTTTCTCTTCCCATTGCAATAGATATTGTATAAGCAATATACGGTTACATACGATAAAACCCTTCCACTTTTTACTTTGATTACGAGTTCGACCATTTTATTTTCTAATATTATTGGTCGAGTATATGACGCTAGACTTCGATGGAAAAAACATCAGCAATATAAATATCAAACGACATCATCGCATAAAAACCATCAAGAAGGGTCAGATTCAAATAATGATCCTGACACTTATATCGATATACGTATATAGTATTAGTATCGGTATTTCAAAACTTAATTTATTTATTTAGGTACGTACGTAGTTATGTTGCAGTTCAAATTCTGTTCAAGTGAAAGAAATACATCATCCACGATAGCAATCAGTTTAATTGTTCAACATGAAACTAATTTAGTGGTTCTCAATACATTAATATACTTCAACTGAAATACGGTTATTATATGTTAAGATATTATTAAAATAAGCCAACTATTAGAAAAAGTAATTTGACTTCAGTTTTGGTTCTGTAACTTTCAAACATGAATTTTTTTTCATTAGTCGTATGGATTATGAAATCACGTATGTGACCGAACAAGAATTCATTTTACGTATTTGTATCATTTACGTATTTATAACGATCGTCAAAATAACGATAACATGACATGTTTATTGTCAAAAAAACGTAGAAGTTGTTATCAATTGTTGGAGCTTTATAAATATCAAAATTTTAAAAAAGAACTATGTTGTCATTGTTGACATTGTTTATAAAAATAAGTTTTAAATTAAATAATCAAATTCTTTAATAGTTTGCTTAATTTTCAAAGTTTAACATTTCTAAGCCGTAATGATAGAATATTATTTTTTAAGTATATTTTTTGATTCATAATGTAAAATTTTAAATATGAAAAATAATGTAATGGATGCTCAAACTTACAATGTTTGTCTACTGCAAAATAATTTTAAAATTAAATTTTTTGTGAACTATAAATAGAATTTGCATTATGTTCTATTATATATATTATTGATTTTACTATATATTTATTATCTATTTTACTACATGTATATATATTATGATTTAGTTTTTAGCTGTTAAAATATATTTATTATAATTTTGCATTATGTTGAAATATCATTTGAAATAAGATCTTTGTAATAAAAATATAGCTATTGTTAGAAATATTTACTAAAAAAGTATTAATAATTTTAAAAATTAAGTTTTAAATATATATAACTATTCATAGTTTGGTAAAAATCTTTATAACTTTTTAATCTTGAATACTTGATTTTAGGATTTCATTTATACTACATGTAGTTGTATTATATGTTCAAATGATTTTGCTGACATTAATTTTTGTTGTATAAACAAATGCTATGAATGGTTGAAATTGTGATGTTTGTTCATTGTAAATAAGTATTATTGCTGTCAATTTTTGAAAAATGATATATTTTATTAGGCTACAATTATGCTATGCTGCCGCGTGCTCTACAAATTTTAAAAAATATTATTTTAAAATCACATGTACTACGTATATTTGGTGTTTATGAAATATTATCGTTATTGTTACGATTGTGTAAATTTAAATACATGTACGTACATGTATCGGTATGCTTTTATAATGAATGATACATGTATCATTATGATACATGTACGTACCTAGTATGATTGAATGATACAGTAATATTGATATAGCATGTGACTAAACAACCTATCTCGTACAGCACAAAAGACACTGACGTTAACTACCAGTCAACCGTTCGATACAATAAGTTTGTTTACGTATCGGCATGCATTGAGTTTCGAGAACTTACAACTTTTTCATCGAGTCGCGCTCGACAAAATTAATTACATGTACATGTATCAGCAAGCATAAAATTAAAAATTTTCCGAAACTGCATTTTTGGTTTTCGTAGCGTCGAGCGTATGTGAAGGTTGTGACTACATCTACTCGGAAACTAAAGTAAAGAAATAACAAATTGGATTTCAAAAAATTCTTGGGTGTAACTAAATAAATCGACTATAAAACATCAGAAGAAAACGAGAACAATCAATACATGGATTAGTTTTTAGGTTTGGAAAATTCCTGTATCACCGCACGCATTTTGTAACCAAATCCACCGAACCTCATTAGTTATGCTAAAATTGATGATCGACAAGGATACATCAGAGAGGTTTTATTGCTTCTTGGTGTGTTTACGATTTTTAATCAACTCAATTACATACATGCATTTACGCAAGAGATTCGTCGTGTACATGTGTTTAGCAAGCAAAGAGTTGCAGAGAAAATAATTAACCAAAAATGTATATAAGAACAACCATCAACCTCCTCCGGAAAAAAACCACTCATCTCCCCCAACCAACAACATTTACCATTCCTTCTGTAAATCCTTCTCTTCTCTCTCTCTCTTTCTCTTAACTCAATCCTTTACAACTCCGTCATTAACATCCATAACAATGGTTAAACTCACCTCTTGCCTTATTTTCTTGCTCGCGTTTGTGTTCGTTTTCGCGTCCGCTGAGTACCAAATTACAAGCCCGACTGCCTGTAATTACTCTATTAAACTTTATTCTTAACTATTTGTCAAGAAAATAATGTTTTACTAATAAATTCTTTATTTATGCGTGTGTATAGCAACTGTCTGGCGTAAAAATAAATTCGCCACCGTTAGATGGATCAACAATGGACCACCTGATGTCAAAAAAACCTTGATTGAGATACTTGCTGGTGACCCAGCAAATCTCGCTCGCGTCATGGTCATAAAACAAAGTATCGATGCCAAAAAACGTATCTTCAAATTCCGAGTCCCAAAAACTTTGGCAGCTGGTACCTACGTTATCCGAGTAAGTTTGATTTATTATACACTTTTATTTATTAATCGGTCGCAATGATTTTTATATTAATTCTTCATCCATTTGTCGTAAAAAGATCGGTGAAATCGGTCACCAAGTTTCCTACAGTCACCCATTCACTGTCAGTGAATAAACTATAATAACCTGGGGTTGCGGTGCTTTGTATATTAAAATATTGCATTACGAATAATAAATTTATTTATTATAGACAGTCTCTCTCCTTTCAATGTCAATTCTAATAGACCTTATAGAAGAATATAATAATATTAGCTTTTTTATATATAGGTAAACCCCTTTGTATTGTATAGAGTATTTAGTTATTAGCGAGCGATTTTTCAAGTATATAATAAATGCTCCGAAGAATTTCAAACATTGTGATTACAATTATATTAATTTTGATCCATTTCGATTATTAAGGGTAATATTTCTACATGAAAACGAAAATAAAATATTCTAAAAGAGTTGCCAATAACCTTACAGCAAAGTGAAATACCAACTAAAGAATTAGATTATACTAAATTAATATAAATGAAATAATTGATGAAATCAATTAATGATGATTATTTTCAAAAAAATCCTCTTCAAAAATTGCCTCCAATAAAACACTTTTATTTCGACGATGTTTATTGCGTCGTACGAATTTCGGAATCGTATCGAATGACGAAGACGTCGAATGATTATTTTGATTAGTATCGTTAATATCAATTCTTGTTTGACATCCAAAAACAAAGTTTTCGTTGACGGATTTTGATATTTCGGTAAATTTTGATTTTACGATGCTTGTTTCTGTTGTTTGCAGTTGTGGTGAGGTTGTTTTTAGAAAACACTCTGGATAACGTTCAGTAATGTAAAGGGAAGATGTTGTGTTGTTGTTATTTTTAGTGTTGATGATATTTCTGCAGAAATGATTTTCTTCTTTAACGTTTGTGTTTATTGAGTTATCTTGAGTAGCATTCATTTTTGAATATGACAAAGAAATAAGTGGATGTAAATGACAACGAATTATTTAGTCTATTGATTTAATGAAACTTAAAGTATGCTCAAAGGTCTACAGAAATGACCGCTTATATATTCGTAATACTCTCTCCTCCGTCCCCCCTTATTTATCTCTCTCATATCACCATCGATCACTATAATCAATCTCACTTGTACAGAGAAGACGAAGAAAGTTCTAGGGTTTTATGATTTATGAGATTGTAATGAGAATGATGATTTATATATAGTGATTTATTGGTACATGGGAAAAGGAAGTCGAGGAAATGAGAAATCGTTCGATTAATCTATTCTGGCAACTTAATATATCGAGTTCATGCAAATGGTAACAATTGTGATTGTTTCTGCAAGAGATCGGAATATCAATGCATGCCATTGTTGCTGGCCACGATTCTGAAAATGTGTATGTATGTATGATGTAGGAGGAAAAAGTTGCAACATTTTTTCAATCACAAGATTCCTATTTACGTGGACGTACAAAGAAAATTTTTTCATCTAACCATATAAAGAAACAATTTAACGTTAAAGTATTTTTCTAATATGGTAATCATTAGCTATCGCTATATATCGATAACGATATCGATATAAATAAAGCCTCATCATTTTATCGTTATCGTTATGGAAACCTCAATGAGATTTTGGACATGAAACTATATACATATCGATATCAAATTATTATTTAAGTAACACGTTGATGGTGCTCTGTAATCTCCTAAAGTAATTTTTTCCACAATTGATTACAATATGGCTATGGCAACAGCGAAAATTAAACGAATTTTGAATTTTACGGGTTCATTTGTTGCAGTAATTGGGTCGTTGGTGGTTCTGATCTTTCTACTCTTGACGTTTCCTGTAAATCTGGTGCCGAATATTTCAACAACACAAAAAAAGGCGCGGCATAGTAATTTTTTGGCATGGCATGCGGGATTGAAAAGCATGTATTTTATTGACTCGTTTTCCAATTTCTTAGAATATAAATTAACAATGTACTGTACTCGTAATCAATGATCAGATTATGACGAATATGAACAAGATACCATCGACTTCTGCACAATCCTTTTCACCGGAATAACATCACACCTCACCATTTACTGGAGCATCTTCTACAAACAACCACGAAACACAATCACCTATTTTCAAGATGGAATCGCGTCCACACCAGCAACGCTTTTCAACAAATTGCTTTCATTCTACTGTCTCGCCACATTCTACGCGATACTGACAAGCTTTTTTGTCGATCATTCGAAATGGTTTGCAGCGGTCGGAATATTTCATAATAGCTTGGAGTTTGCGATTGTATTGGTGATGAAGGATGGCGGACGAATAAAGACGAATTTGTTTTTCGTGTTTTTGTGGATGCATTCTTGGGTGGTATTATCTTTTGTAACTTTTTTGAAATGGCCTTGGGATGCCGTTTTGTTTAAAGGACAAGGTATTTTTGGTTGTCTTTTTAATCATTAAACTCTTCGGTACTTATCGTTATGTAATTTACAATTTTATAGAAATGATTTTGGATTCAATGTTACTAATAATGTTCATCAGAATATTACACAAATCGTCAAAAAAGCAGAAAGAAGCCTTCAAATCAAATGAACTCCCGCGAACAGTTTCTCCAACGATGAGTGATATTTTAAAAGTTAGAGATATATCACCATCAGCTTCATCGCAATCGCCGCCATCACCACTTTTTCCAACGACACTTGAGCATCCAAAACAACTATGGATACTGATCTTGTCTTCGATGCTGCATCTTTTTGGGAATTCAGCTGTGGTGGTGTTTTCTGATCTGGGACCGGTGTAATTTATATACTTCCTCATGGCTTTGTGTTTCATGAATAAACCAAGTACAATTTAACCTTGCCTTGTCTTTTTTCAATGGTCGTAGAATGTACTTGTCAACTTTTACATATGCGATATCTTTCCCGTTGTATGCTTTTTATGTTTATTTGGAAACACATTGCACGGACGTTTTATCAATCGAGAAACGGTATTATTGGAAAACGGCAGGTTGGAAGATCTTTGTGATCTTTTTGTGGGCTGTGGTTTTTAGTGTTGGGGTTCTGCGAGTGGGTGTTTTTGGTGTCGAAAATCTGCAGATCAAGGAGTGTTTTTTGGGTTGGGTTTTTAGCATGAGATTTTGAAGAGTGCTGCAAATAAAGCTTGGGAGATGCCGTATTGATTAAAAAAAACAAATTTTTTTATTTTCTTTTATGTCTAAATTTTCTCAAATAAAATTCTTGATGAAAATAATTAAATGTCCCAAACAAAGAAACGCTTTGAATTTATTTCTTTTTAAATGTCTTTCGAATAGAATTAATCATGTTGTAAAGAAGTGGTTATTTATTTAGATATAAAACATTGTTCTAGTCACTAAAAATAAGTGATTTTTTTGCTTATGAAACAATAGTAATAATTTTTGCCAGATCTATTCATAATTTTTGTAAGTAATAAAAATATTGGTATCAATTTAGTGCAATAAATCCATGGCGTCTAATTTGAAATTGAAATTATATATAGATATTGTATTTAGCTTTGGATTCGCTTGATCAATTTTTATAAAACAAAGTAAACTAAGAACTATCTGCTTGCTGAAGCAGGAGTATGAAGTAAGTCATGCAGTGTGTCTGTTCACAAATTATAAATTTATTGGAAGGTCACTTATTTTTTTTATAAATGTTTTGTCTAATTTTAGCTGCACTATTCTTAATGTTAATATAATTATCGTTATTTTATTATTTAAAGCATCTTATTATCCAAATATCTTGCATTGACATAATTTATAAGTATTATATGAAAATTAACTTGATTATTGGATTTTTCAAAATTTAAAAATAATATTGCTTACATAAGAATTAAATATAAATTTTAGTTTGTTATTTGAATTTATTCTTTATACCGATATTGGATTTGGATATTAGTTTAATTCGAATTTTTCAATATTTAGCAGCAAAATTTATAGTAGATTTTTCACTATCAAAAAATATAATGTATATATTTAGTTTAGTTTCTATCTAGTATGAATTATTTCAAGGTATTTATTTATTTATCCAGGGTATTTGGCTTTTTCGACAGTATTATTATTATTATTATCTTGAGCTAAAGAGAGATTATTCTTGTTTTTAAGAATTATCAATATCAAGTTCATTAACATTATTAATTTTTGCAAAATCAAATACAAATTATTAATCGTAAATTTATAGATCTTTAACGCGATTTTTTTTAATATACTCTGAACATTAAATTAAAATTAATAAAAATTGTTACATTGAATATAAAATTAATAAAAATATGTTAAAAATAAAATAATAATTTTAAATCCAATTTCTTAGAAAATAGAATAATCAATCAATCAATTGTATAAAATAAAAATTTGTATAGATAAATCAATAAAAATTAAATAACTATGAATAAAAATATTTTCTAATATCTTTAAAATTATTTAAAATTGAACTATTATTACTAGCAAAATCAAAGTTTTAAATATAATGTATAATCATTTAGTTGTAAGGGAGTTCGATAATTTTGGATATTTATTAGTTTCTAGAAATGAAGTATTTTTTTAATTCACGTATTTTGTTTCATAAGTTTATTTTATTATTGTATGCATTGTTATGTATGAAAGACATTAATAATTTGATTAATAAAATTCGGATTTTTAATTTTAAGTTTTTTTGTTAAGCAATCCAATAACGCGGCACTGAGTTAATAATTAAACATGAATTTATTTTTTTATACATTCAAATTAAAAAAATATTATATTTGTATATTTTGTATGATCTCACAGTTTGTATGTTGGTATGATTTTCATCTTTTTAGCACTTAAAATCTGTATATTTTGTAATAAAAAATTTGGACATGTTTTTATATAGTTTTACGCTATTGTATTTTGGTCATTGTTAGTTAAAATTGGAAATTTGATTCCGAATATTCGATATATAAATGCATGTAAAATTTCATATGTAAATTTGTTCATCAGTGATAACTAAATTTTAATATTCGATCAACATCGATAATCACGTGTAATAATTAATAATTTCAATTCTCACAAAAAAAGAAATTCGCGGTAACAATCTCCAACCCATACTTTTTTGCGAATTCACGCGTATTGAATTTCTCTCGTGATTCCGGCAACGGGTCATACTTGATATCGCATTGTGGCTGCTTAAACAACACAAACACATACCGATGTTTTCCTGTGCCAGGTGGTGGCGTTGGTCCATTGTACGTAGTTAGCGTAGTCGCTTTGTTCAATTCCGCGTTTGCTACATAAACAATTATTAACACTGTTAGTTCGAACCTGTGATAATCGGATTTTGGATTGGATTTATTAAATCGATATATCGATATCGAGATATCGATATATACCAGGAATATTTCCAACAACCCAATGACGCCATTCACGTCTGATCGGATTTGCACGACTAGGGGCATCGGGATCAACCTATACATACGTATACGTATATATATATATTTGGATTTTAGATTTCATTGAGATTAACGTTAAATGTAAATGTAACAGTAAATAAATGCATTACGTATATACCATCAGCAACGTGAATTGATCTTCAGTATTTTGGTCATCAGTCGCAAACCAAACATTGGGAGATTTCGCAGTGGCTTATCGATAATGAAACATAATGTGTCATACAGATAGAAATTCCTAATCGAGATATTAGTATATTGACAGATACCTTCGATAGTCAATTGATTTCCAAGATTCACGTCTTTTTCTTTTCCATAATGAAGCGTTAATAATCCGCTGACTTGAAATTCGTCGATTACTTATGATTGCGAAAAGAAAAACAAAATGTCATTAATTTATTTAAATTTTCGGTGGATGTCAAAAAAAGAAACGGAATACACCAACCATCAGGAATTACACCGTGCTCTTTCAAGGCGGACACAACAGCGTCATGTGAAGTGATGAGCATATTTCGATTATTACTATTATTAATGGATTCGAAAATATATTCAGGTTTGAGAGTAAAGGTAACAATCAAACAACGATAAAACTCATCCCAATCAATAATACCTTTGGAGAATAAAGCAGCGCAAAGGAAGTTTGATATGCAAGAAAAGAACATGAGGCAATTTATAAGTGTGAAAAATAAATAAATAAATGACATAATAATTCGCTAATTGAATCCGGATCAATATCGATATCAGGAGTAAATCACTACTGCAGGTTCTTTATCGTTATTGTTTGATGAACAGCCAAAAAACGAAACACTGCATCATCATTATTCATCATTGTACTATCTTTTGTGTGTAAACCACAAATATTATCTACACAAAAAATACGTATACGCCTTCCTGTCTATTCAATTTGAGAGAATTTTCCAACAGAATCAAGAGTGCAAAACTTTTTCTTCACTCCTGAAATACGCGTTCGCAACACCTCAAGGACAACATAACGACAGAACGACAGAGCAACAATAAAAGTTGAAACAACAACAATAGCAACAACAACAACAACAACAATACATTTACCTGTCAACAAAAAAAACGAGTCTTTTTACCCAATACTAATTAACTGACTCAAAATACTGAGACCAAGAACGAAAAAGAACACTTTCATTTACCAATCATCTACTTTTGCTCACTCTTTCTAGAAGACGTCAACTAAAAAATAATACTTGCAAAAATTAGTTGTAATAATAGTAACAGTTATAAGATATTAATAATGGCATTGACTAATGCAAGCTTTACCGAAATTTTGGACGACTTGTCAAGGTATATAGTAGCATATTTGATGTATCATTTTGTGAATAGCTGATTTCTTAACCATTCGAGATTCCGCGCGTCGATTTTACTTCGGCTGTGCCAATACAAGAAACATCTTGTCAAAGAAATTAATATTATTTCTGTTTTTCTTCATCAAATAATCATAACCAAACCGAAACAAGTCGGTTTATAATAAATGTACCAGAAGAAGAACTAGCCTCCGTAGAAAGAATATGTTTTCAAATAGAACAGGCACACTGGTTTTACGAAGACTTTGTACGGGAACAGAACCCAAATTTGCCGAGTTTCTCGCTAAAAAATTTTTCCGCAAAGTATATCCTTTTTTTATATCTAGCTCTGTAGCGTAATTTTTTATGGATTGGATGAAAAGATTTGTTGATATAATTCGATCTTAATAATTAACATAAGCATTTGATATGGTCACTATTTACTTCCTTAACTCGCGTTCACACTCTTTCAGCATTGTCCACTATTACATCAATGGTCGAACGAACACGAAAAAGCTTTCAGCGACTTTATGCAATATAAAATCAAAGTCCCCGTATGCGGGGCGATAATGTTAAATGAATCGATGGACCAGGTGTGTTCATTTCATAATTATTTTTTCTAAATATTTGGTAATAACGTGCGCATACAACCAAATACTAATATATGATAATGATATTATTACGATAACAGTGTGTACTAGTAAAAGGATGGTCGTCACGATCAGGCTGGGGATTCCCAAAAGGAAAAATAAATTACGATGAGCCTGATTCTATATGTGCAGCACGAGAGGTTTGTATTATCCTCTTTGATTAATTTGTACAATTGTGGAATTATTTCATATAGAAACTGTCCATTCTCTTAATCTTAATTTGACCTGCTTTTCCTTTTCATATGTTCAGGTATTAGAAGAAACAGGATACGACATATCCCCACTAATAAAAGAAAAAGACTACGTAGAGATAACAATACGTGAACAACGAATACGATTATACATAGTGGTCGGAGTGCCGCAAGATACAGACTTCTGTCCAAGAACTCGAAAAGAGATTAGCGTAAGTATACATGATGAATCCTATATGGTCTTGTAGATTCCATTTATTGATTGGCTTGATTCTGAACATCATAATAGAAAATCGAATGGCACAGGTTATCCGAGTTACCCACTTGGATCCGTAGCAAAGATAAAGATTCACCTTATAATTGCGGAGGCGGGTGTGTTAAATATGGAAGTAGTAGATTTTATATGGTGGTCCCGTTTGTAAGGTAATTTTCGCATCATACCTCCCTATGTGCTTTCTATAATACAAATAAAAACGAATTTTTAATATTGATAATGCAAAAAAATCTTTCATAAAATCAGTAAATTACGCAATTGGGTGAAAACGCAACGAAAAAATGCTCGACAGCGTCCCAAAGATGCGCACACATCCACAAACATCAACAACAATTCAAACGCCACCAACAACCTGAACCACAACAATGTCAATAGCACTGCAATAGCAGAAGACGACGAAGACGAAGAAGAAATTCCGGAACTTGATACTGTATTGTACCGTACTAATAATATAGGTGGTAACCCGAGATCATCATCAGTCCCAGTCTCTGAACAAATACTCTACTCGGAAAACTCGATCAACGGGACTGAAGAAGAAAGCGAAGAAGGAAGTAGTGGTAAAGGCGGACAGTCTCCTCCATCGCAAAACGAAGATAACGAACTCCAACAACATCGTGTGTTAAACAACCACCATCAATATCAACACTCGCAACAACAACTAAATCATCTTCCCACCGACTTTACGACAAAATTCCTGAAGAATATTTTAGGCGTAAATGCTTACTACGGGAATGGACCGCCGCCTGTCCTGCCTTCGCACGCGTCTCCTCCGGTGGATACAACATCTTCACAAATTGATCGTGATAATCACACTAACAGTATCACGGCTCCGATTCCTCGTTCAGCAAACAGTAACGTGAATATTGCGGCTCTGGATCCCGAACAACAACTCAGAAGAAATTCTATATTGAACTTGTTTACAGCGGTGGATCCTTCTGCGACTACGACGACTAACGCCACCAATACAAATACTACCAACTCTAGTCGACGACCTTCTGTACCCGCTACTACTACCAATGCTGCTATTACTAGTACTAATACTATTGATACGACTACGACTACATCCTTAGTCGATTACGAAGAGCGACGCAGAAATTCTCTGCTGGAATTACTTCAACCTGAAACTGCTGCTGCTGCTACTACTACTACTGCCACTACTATTAAACCTGAGATAATTACATCGTCCTCTGTAACAACTTCGGTTAATTCAATCATGAATAATATTCCTCCACGCACTACTGATTTTTCTGAAGGTGTTGCTGGTAGCAGTGGTAGTATTCATTACGTAATTCAAGAGCGACAAGAACAGATGCTTAATTTCTTGCAACAGCCTTCGTCCGCTGCTTCATTGATGAGTATGAACCGAGCTTCGTCTTCTACTGTTAACGATAATACTGCTGTCACCTTCAATAATGTTATTACTAATAACAATAGTAATAATAATGGATGGTTTAGTATGTTTGCACAACAACCAATGTCTCATCATCACCCATTGGTATCTCCGTACCATCACCAATCTACTGCTGCTGCTACGGTGACTTTAGACTCCAATCATTATTTAGGCAATAACGTTAATATTACGAATAATAATAATAATAATAACAATAATAATCTTAATAATACTGATCATAAACGTGACTCGATGTTTAGTTTGTATTCAAATCAAGGATACGCTACTCCGATGGCGCCACAACATGGAGTTGTTGGGCAAGGAAGACCTCATCAAAATACAACTTCTAATACTAACCCCAATAACAACGGGTTTAATAACGTTAATTACCTGAACAATCGTGACAATCTTGATGATATTTCCCGCAAAATGTCGTTGCTTGGTTTGTTATCGTCATCGGAGAACAATAATAGTAATCCAGTTGTCGTTAGAAGTAACAACCACCATATCATGAATGGTGTTAGTATCGACAATGATAACGCGGTTAAGCAACAATCTGCATCCAGTTTACCACCAGTGCCATCTGCATCTTACTTTACTAATGGCGTAAATGGTGGTGGTGTCAATGGCTTAAGTGGCGTGAACAGTTTAACTACCAATGGAATCATCAACCAAAACCCTGCTCCACCTCAAATTAATAACAATAATAATACATTAAATCACAATACTCACCATCATCATAGATCATTCACCCCCGGTACACCATTAACCGCGCATCGTGCCAGTCACGAGAACTTGCTTCGTCTAATTACAGCCTCACCACCTGCCAAATTTGCCTCATCTGGTCCGATCGACGCCGAGATCCAGGAGCAAGAAAGAACGTTAATGAGTTTTTTGAAGTTTGCAGGTAGTGATGTTGGTAATGCTGATAACCACACTACCATCAACAACAATAATGATCATAGTACAACTGCTAGTATCGGTAGTGCTGGATCTTCGACTACTACTATTGCCAACGAGTTGAATGTAGTTGGAGGGGATATTGATGCATCGTCATCATCGTATAATATAATAAATGGTACTCGTGAGATTCTTACCGCCCATAACATCTTTAATAATAATACTGGCAAAAATATGGGTTTCTTGGATGTTTTGTCATCTTCGTCATCACATCCTTTCTCTAATAATAATAATATCAGCAATGCTCACCGTAACCAACATGATAATAATAATCATTCTGTTGGAAGTGTAAACGGTGTTGTTGGTAATGGAGATTACAATGGACTGATACCAGCCGGCGATCAAAGACTCCATCATTATAATGATGATCATAATAAACACCACCAACGTCAAGATATTGCATCTATTTCTTCGATGGGTATTGTTGATCAACAACAATTACTGTTGCAACAGTTACTTAACAATAGTAATCATCCTCTTCCACAATATCATCGACGTCACGACAATAACTATGTAACTGGTGCTGGTGGCAATTCATTCAATATTGGTGAGGCTACTGCCACCAGTTCTAGCACCCAGATACCTGCCTTCGCGAACTTCAAATTTGATGTGGATAAAATTCTGGCTGCTATGTAAAATTGTCCTAATGAACATTAAATATAAAAACACAACAACATAATGACGACATAACGATAACTAAAGATATAGAAAAACAACAAACAAGAACTCAAACATTATAACTCAAAAATAATCGGATAATAACAATTCACCAAAAAAAATTATAAAAAGTCGACATTCCATTGATCGAACAAATCTCAATTGGGCGGAATTACAACGAAAAACAACAATAGGAAATGGAATTGATTCCGGGGGCGGGGAAATAAAAATATGACCTTTTTTTATTTGAGTTTGAGATACGATGGGCCATACGTACATTCATTTGAATGGAGAAATTACCAGTAATCGATCCGATTATTATTTTTTAATTTGATGATGTCGGTTAGTGATGACTACCTTCACCACCTTTATTATCATGTTTTTTCCATGTTCGTATCTCTGATCAATAATGTAAATAATAAAAATTTGTCACATTAAAATTTTGAATGAGAACTTTAAGGTGGACACAACATATATCAATACATGTATGTGTCTATATGTGTACATGTAGGTATCACTGTTTTCCACAATGATGGACTGAACCTGTTAAAAACTTGTTTTTTACTCACATACCTATCAAAAAGCAAGATTTGGAAGAAAAAAAATTTATACTTCCCTTTGACTCGATAAAATTAGCAATGATGTGATGCTCCGGATCTCTACGGTAAGTATCCCGTCTTACGCCCACGCCAACCTTAAAGATACAACAAAATACACTTTAACTTCTAATTTGGAAATATCCGTAATATACGTATATATATGAGTACATCCTCGCAAAAATATTCTAGAGACGTTTGACGATCTCGTATATTATCGTTATATAATTTGTATAAATATAAAGATGGGCTGTTCTCAGTTCGCTGCTTTTGTCAGTTCCGCACTTTTTTTGTGTGTAGTGCTCTTGTCTTATCCAAGACCAAATAAATTCCCACCTCCACCTCCGCAAGAAAATTCACCTATTACCGGTTTTCCGTCATGGCGTGAATATTTAGAAGGTTATTATTATTATTTATAATAAAAATCAACTGAGATTATTGTATTCTAATTTATGTATTACTATTATTTGATAATATTAGAATACGATTTTCAAACTGTCTACACTCCATCGCTCTATGCAATAATGATTAACGGAATAACCGGCCTAGCAGCCTTATACTGGACATTTATCTACAAACAGCCAAAAAGCACAATATCATTCTTTCACCAAGGTAACGAAGTCGCCCCAGCGACACTATTCAACGCGATACTCGCAATCTATGTATTAGTCACACAGTGGGCCTCGATCGCTGGCATAATCGTCGACCTTTCAAAGCTCTGGGTACCCATCGGTGTTATTCATAACGCGGCGGAACTCGCATTCGTAACGTTGTTGTACATGGGCGGAAAAGTAGCTTCGAATTTATATTTTGTGGGAATTGGCATTTATATGATTACTGTCGTGAGTTGTTGTATGATTTTTCCGTGGCCTTATGATGCTTTTTTTTTCAAGGCGCAAGGTAATTAAATAATCACCAATTATATTTCGTTTTGTTATTGGAATGAATATTAATAGAAAATAATGCTTCTTGATAGGTCTTGTTCTTGATTATATGATTGTTGTCTTATTCACAAGAGTCATTCTTGAGACACGTTCACAATTCCAAAGTGATGCCGAGGGTCACATTCCAATAGTTGATCAAGAAGACGACGAAGGCCGCGAGCGATTAACCGCTCGTGCTAAACTTTACCCCACGACTGTTAATCACCCACATCAATTACACATATTGCTAGTTGCGGGCTTCATTCATCTTCTTGGTAATACTGTGAGTACTGTGTTTTCGAAATCGTTTAATGCGTAAGTGTAACCATTATTTGATTATTGACCATTGTTGTGCTGGTTTTTAAAATATAATTTATTAAATCGAATTTTTTTGGTATATTTTCAGTCTTTTATTCTTCCATATCACATACCCGATCAGTTTCCCACTTTACGCGTACTACGTCTATCTGGACACACATTGTCAGAGTATCTTGCCCCAGAAACGCATTTACCTACCCAGAACGACCAAAGGTGGAGTTACCACGATTTTCTTATGCTCGGCTGCTTTCTCGCTCCTTACTGTGCGGTTTCTCATTACTAATTCCATAGAGGAAAATGATATTTTGTAAATGTAATTTGGATTAAATTATTAATTTTGTTATTACACATACATGTTTTTCAAAAAACAATTATGAATATTTGAAATATAATTATCATCTATCAATATCGATATCGATATGTTCTTGTTATTAAATTGAAATTATAACGGGTTATCGCCACTTCGTTATGAACAGTGGTTGTTTGTCGGGATTCTAAAAATCAATGCTTACTAACCATAGTAATTTTAGAATCGTGCAAGTTAGCATACTTTTAAAGAAAATGCGACGAAACCTTCTGACCAATCAAAAGCTTAAATCACATGTACAAAGTGATTTACAATGTTCATGAAGGCCATGGACGATCAAAATTATGCTGAATTTTGGCCGGCATTATGAAAATTTATTAAACCTCTATAACTGGCAAAATTATGCAAACAGAAAACCGATAAATTGATAAAGCCTGACTTAATCTACTGTTTTTACGGTTTAGTTTGCCAAAATTACCAAATTTGTCATTCGTCAGACGATTTGTTATTCGTCACATTCGCCACTTGTTCTTTCCAAAGTAGCCATGGCAAAAAGTTTCGTTAGTTGTCTTGTAGAATTATGCCGGAATTATCATTTATCGTTTGATTCGTCCTATTAGGGTATCACGTTACCGTTCCTTTTTATAATTCTAAAATGTCAATCAAGCGTATGCTTAATGTGTGTTTATGTTGGTAGCTCTGTAAGAACTCTCTTCTCAATCCTCATATACCCTATATCCTATAGGTTCTGCTTAAATACAAACTTTCTTTTCTAACTTCATATTTATTAAGAACTCTCGTTACAAAAAAATCGTAGAAATGTTGAATTTCAATATGCATATTGCGGAACTTATACCTGAATTCATTACGACATAAAAACCTATGTTTTTTGAACTTTAATTATACTCGATTTATCACGAACTTTCTTGTTAATTATATTATTATAACTGGTACAAATATTGTAACGTTAACCATAATTATTTAATAGCACTCAACAGAAGAAAGTCACTGGATTTTCTTGTTATACAGTACCGGACAGCAAAAGACATCCACTTTTTAAATGATGTCACAAAAAGTGTTATAACTTAAAAAGGAAATACAATATAAAAAAATCCTCTTACAGATTAATAATTATTTGATAAAGCTATAATTCTGTTAAAATACTTTTTTAATTTTCTTTTTCTTTCTTGAGATATAAATTTGTGTTACAATTTTGGCGTTTACTAATAAAAATAAAGAACTCTGATTGGTCAGATTGATTATTATATATAAAATAAATAATTTTGATTGGTCAGATTGATTATTATGTATAAGATTTACAATAAAAATTTGGCGTTATGGCGCAATATTGGAAATCTTTTGCTGTCATCCACTATATGTATCTTGTTTATGTAATCACTCTTAAGGATCTTATTGGTAAATTATGTATGCTTCAATCTGAGTCAACAACTACATACACACATAGTTCAAATGAGATGACACAAACTTTTTGTGATGATTACGAAGTAGAAATTAACATTAAGATACTGCTCCAAATACTCAAATCTTAGAAAAATGTTTAATATATATGAAATGGACTACAAGCAATTTATTAAAGCATCTAAAAACTTCTGGGTACGAAGTTCCTTTTAAATTCAAAGATAAATATTTTAAATATCGGTTTCGCATAAAGAGATTACAGTTTTTTTGGCGAAATAGATGAAGTGCTATATTATAAAAAATTTTTGTGTGTATGGGTTAAGTGCAATAGAAACGGTGTAAATTATATTATAAAATCTAATACAATTTACACCATTTCTATTCACTCAGTATATTTGATAAAATTCATCCCATAATATGGTAGCTTCAATTTGTTATAAGAACAAAACTATTTGTTTTCGAAGATCGCCGAATATATAATATTTCTGCAACTTCAGACTCTCAATGTGTGCTGTCATTTCTATAGCCTCTGAAAAATTTATTCGATAGAAATATCAGTTAGCCAAACTTTTCATTATATTTTGCCTTTTTGAGATGTTATGAATTAAAGCCTTTAAATGAAACGAAGAGTTTCTTTGGTATATAGATTTTTTATCAAATCTCATTATTGGTTAAATGTACTTCAATCAGGGCTTTCTAATAAATAATGTTTCATTACGTTCTCTTTCATTCATAAATTTCTTTTTTGATCCAAGCACTCGAAAAAGTGCGACCTGAGATCCATTATAAAAAAATTATATTTCATTATGTACCCTTTTATTCATTGATTTCTTTTTGAAAATGTTGTTATATAAACAACTTCGCCTGTCGATTCAAGGTACCCGAGAGTGTGTGACTTGAGACCCATTATAAACTTTTATATTTTATCAGTTTTGCATACAAATGCGGAAAGTCTTTGTCTGATCTCTTTGAACTTACCGTATTTTACGGTTTAAAGTACCAGGCTGAGTTATGTTTTATAGAGGTAAGTTTAATTATAGTTTATTATATTTTGGGGACACAAAAAAATTTATCTTTACGGTGTAACCGGATACTTTAGAATAGGGAGCAATATATAAAATTCAATTTTAAAACCACGTTCTCAAAAGAACGGAAATTTTTTTATATTGTTCTCAAAAAATAGACAATGTTCTCAATTATGTCCTCAAGTTTTTAAAATCGTTCTCAAGCAAAAACATAAATATTTTTATAATTACTTATGGCTTGCTGAGAACATGACTTCTGATCAAATTGTTCTCGAATAAGAGAACATTTTTGTAGCCACAAATGTTCTCAAAAATGTTGTGATGTTCTCTGAGAACAGTTGAATTTTATACACTGATAGGGAGTACACAAAAAAAAGCGAACAATACTAAATAGCAAATAATTTAATGTACAAGATCGCCCCATGAATTGTTGAATTATGTACGTATATGTACGTCGATAAAATGTCGATCACTTCGTAGCGGTAGTGATCATGCGAAATTATTATCCAATTACTCAAAATGGAGAATAGATTGGATATTTTGACAAGAAGAAAGAATACTCATTATTTTAAAGTTAATGTACTAATATATAACTCTGCGATACACAACACATTACTTAACTATCACACACACTATATACTTACATTCATGTGGGATGCAATAGAAATACATGTAGATAAAAATCACACATATTCGCGTTCCGTTTTGGATAATTTCGCACGAAGTGATTGACTTTTTATCGTTATACATGTACATGTGATAAAAACGGCGTAATTTTTATCTCAAAGGCAATGAAAAAATTATCGTTAACCTTTTATGATTTTTTCTATAAATCCGATTGATTGAGATATTATCGTTATACAGTAATTTATAAATGGAAATTACTTCATAGTGCAATTCCGGGTTAATGAGAGTTAACTGTATATTTCATCAGTGCCGAATATTTAATCGTAAGAAAATATTAAAGCAAACTAATGTTACAACAATTCGTAACATGTTTAAAAAAACTTGTTAGAATATACTGATCTTTCAATAAAATAAGAGAACTGATTTGATCGATAATGCAAGAAAATATAGCAGTCCTATTAACAATAAATAAATAACAACCTTGATTTTGTTATAAAAGTACTTCAAGTTTTGTAAGAGAAAAAAAAAACAGAAAAACTCCAAAACAAAAAAAAAATCTTAAATATCAAAAATGAACTCAAACAATAATAACACACTACGATATTTTTACTCAGTCAATGATGCTACTACTCGGCTTGATAAATTATACCAAATGGAACAACATAACGAATCTGCCGACATTCGGTCCGACTTCGTTGACGGATCCTATCTTCCTATATTAAATGAAAAAAACGTCTTGCTTGATCCAGATTGCAGCTTTGTTTCTGATATTCCAATAATAGAGATCGAGTTCATACCTGATTTGCCTAACCTCTCGACAATTGGTAACGATAATGAACTTACACAGGTCGATCAACATTTAGAGGATCAACAAGACGAAGATTCTCAAGCACACCACCCGAATCATAAGCACATAATATCACGGAAGGCACATTTCGCTAAATATAGCCAAGCTAATAACAAGAAATTTTTTTGTTCTAAAAGTTTATGGTTTAAATTCTTATTATTTTAAATGCTATAATTTAAGTTCTATAATTTCTATCTTTTATTGAATTAAAGTTTCTTTTCTCTCTAAGATTTTTCCTCATTTATGCTATATTATTCTTTGCTTCATTAATTTCTGTTTGAATTTTATTATATTTGTTCTGTTTCTGTCGCTCACATATATAGTGAGTTCACTTTTTACTCGTTCTCTCGGTCTTCCTTGTTTATATCATCAATTACACTCGTGTTCTTGCGCATAGAAATATTTGTTACTCGAAGTTCTAAATTTTCTTTATATTTATGAATTCCGAATTCTCATTATTTTCAAGTACTGTTTTTTATTTCTTTTATTAAGAATTAATTTCTTTATCAAATGATACTGCATCGGAGCTTATTTCAAATACTGTATAGGATAGCACAAACTTTTTTTTGGATTAGCAACTTAATTTCTTCCATTGCCTTCGTTTTTTTAAATAAACTCCCAACAAATTCTTGGTATTGGCGTAAAAAATATCAAAAAAATTTTTTTGATGTGCAAACTTATTGACGTGATGTAACCATAAAAAAGGAGTAACTACATTAAGTATATAGGTGTGCCGACAACCACAATCCCGACAATCCATAAACCCGACAAACAAAATTCCGAATGCACGAAATCCTGATAGTTCAGAATCCTGACAATTTAAATCATAAAATTAGAAAAAGTAAACACCAAATATGAATTTGAATATCAATATAATAATAAATTAACTATCGTTACAACGATCATTAAACATGAGAATAGCGTTATCAATGAATTAGTGAAGATTTTAAATGTCGGGATGCCGTGCATTCGGGATTTCGTTTGTCGGGTTTCGGGATTATGGTTGTCCGGATCCGGTTAATCAACATTGGTCTATACTCTTAGAAGAAACATAATCTTTCCGAATATGTGGCTTTTAAATAAAGACGCTTTTAACATCAATGGCCTATTGATTAAAAACGTGAAACTTTGTTGGAGTTATGGGGTTAATGATTGATACCTGACGAAACTATTTTCACGATGACGAAACATTTCGTCACGTCATTCGTCAGACGAAACCCCTGACGATTGACGAAACCTTCTGGCCAATCAAAATGATAGCTTAAATCACATGATGATTGATAAAACCGTGACGAAATATTCTGACCAATCAAAATAATAGCAAAAATCACATGCACAAATACTATTCCGAATTTTAAAGGATGTTACGTCATTAGGAATCTAGTACATGTGTTTGATTGGCTGAAGGCCATAGACGATCAAATTTATGCTGAATTTTTGGCTAGCATTATGAAAACTTGAAACAAGTGTATAATTTTAAATATAACCTCTGGTAAAAATAATGCAAAAAAATAAGCTGATAAATTGATAAAGTTTGACTTGACTTATTATTGTTTTATGGTTTAGTTTGCCAAAATTGTCATTCGTCAGACGATTCGTCATTTGCCATTTACATTTCCAAAGTGGCGAAAGGTTTCGTGAAAATCAATACGTACATGATGCAGTGTTGTACATTTTGGATGTCCGCGTCCGGTCCGCGGACGTCCGTACTCTTGTGCTACATATAAATATATATCGTAGATATATGCAAAAATCAATTGTGAACAACTTTAATTAGTAATTCAAGACAACTTGTCTTAATAAAATTTCGCGTAATTCGACATCAAAGTTGGTTACACAATGTCCGAAATCTGTCCACGATGTACACTACGTACATGTACATGTATTATTGATATTTAAATACATGTACGTATGCATTTTGCGCATTCGTTCCTTTCCAAAAATGGTATTTTATTGGTCAGAAGGTTTCGTCATTTGTCACAGACATTTTCAAAATGGTCGTGACGAAAGGCTTCGTCAAATTGACGTGACGAAATGTTTCGTCATCGTCAATTATCATTATATGGGGTGTTGGGAAATTTGCTGTTTTTCATGAGATTTATAATAAACTATGTCATTTGATGTCACCTCAATGATGTCATTTCCCAGCTCTGTGGATTAGATGCTACCTTCAAAGTAAAGTTTATGCTATGTTACTGAAAATGTTATTATGAAAAATACTTTAGTAATACACAGCGACTCTCGTCAAACCGGAACTGCGTAAAAAAAAGATAAAAAGTAAAATAAAAGATAAAATAAAAAGTAAAAATAAAATAAAAGGTAAAATAAAAGATAAAATAAAAGATAAATAAAAGATAAAAAGTAAAATAAAAATAAAATAAAAAATAAAATAAAAAATAAGAGAAAAAATAAAATAAATGATAAAAAGTAAAATATCTTTGCTATTATATAAATATTTTATATTTTTTAACTATTTTTAAAATTAATAATTTTTATATTATTACTGTAATAATATTACAATTATTTTTATTTTTTAATAATTATAAAAAATAGAGTTATTTATAAGTTAAAAAGAAGTAATTTTAAAAAATTTTTATCATTAGTCTTTGATAAACTTATCAATATTTTAAATATAAATCATAATACAAATTATAGAATTTATCATATAAAATAATATTTATTATTATAATTTTTATAATTTTACTGATAAAATTTTAACTTTAATTATTAACAAAAAATTTTTTTCCTGGAAATATAAAATTTTATAATAAAATTATAGAATTAATTACAAAATAAATTAAATATTTTGAGCAATTTATAAATAATAAAAATTACAAATTTTAAATTATATTAATTTAAAATATGCTATATTTTTATTTAGCTTGAAAAATGAGGGATTAAGCTTATAAAAATTATAAATAAATATATAAAAACAAGTCAAAAATAATTTTAATAGACAAATTTGTCTACTAAATAATTTAAAAGATAATAAAATATAATAAAAACTAAAATTATTTCTATATTAAAAATTTCTATTTTATTATTTTGTTTGAAAAATATTTAAAATATTTTTATAATTAAATATAAATTTTATTAATTTAATTTTGCAAGCAAAAAAGTTTTTTAATAAAATTTATTATTAATTTTTTTAATTTAAAACTAAAAATATTTATTAATAAAATAGAATTTTTAATATAAAAAAATAATTTAATTTTTATTATTTTTTTGATTTTTATAGAAATATATATTAAAATTATATTATTAAACTTTTATTATAATTCAAAAATGCTAGAAAGCAAAAATTTAAATAAATAAACTAAAAATTAATATATTAAAATTATTAACAAAAAATCTATTGAAATATAATATATAAAAATAATAAAACAAATTATAACTTTATAATATTATTATCTTAATACTTTTTGTATTATATTGATTATTTATTGAATAAATTATTATAAATTTTTATTTATTTAAGTATTATATATTATATTATATTATATTATATATTTAAATTATATAACAAATAGTTTTTTTTCTAATTAATTTTATATTTATATACACACCCCTACAATAAATTACTGGAAATCCAAAAAAAGCATAGTAAAACATAGTAAAATTGAAATTATCTCTTTATAATGAAAATTTTATTATTATTAGTAAATATTTTTTGTTTTTATATCAAAAGAAAGCTAAGAACCTGTATTTTAACATATATTTTTTATAGATTTTTTAAATTTAATTTCAGAAATATTTCGGATTGTAAAGTTAGTTACACAAACTTTTTATAATTAAAATTTAATAAAAAGTTTGTATAACCAACTTTACAATCCGAAATATTTCTGAAATTAAATTTAAAAAATCTATAAAAAATATATGTTAAAATACAGGTTCTTAGCTTTCTTTTGATATAAAAACAAAAAATATTTACTAATAATAATAAAATTTTCATTATAAAGAGATAATTTCAATTTTACTATGTTTTACTATGCTTTTTTTTGGATTTCCGGTAATTTATTGTAGGGGTGTGTATAAAAAATTTTGCGATATTAAAATTCAAAGTAACAAATTAAACAAAATATATATCAATTATTTAGTTTGAAAATTATTAAATACAAATAACTTTTAAATTGGCCTCTGGTTCGCATATGAATCATTAATCAAAATAAATAAATCTATATTTATTCCTTATGAGTGAGTGTATCTGATGATATACATAGAAAATAGTTCCACGTGCTCCAATGATTCGCTTGATCTTAGAAGGTTTACAGCCGCCGCCGTATTGCATTTAACAAGTAAGTTTGTAAGCTATTTGTTACTATGCTGTTTTATTATAAATAAATAAAACTAAATTCTATATAAATTAAAAATAGTCAATACTTAATTTTTAAAATACATGTTCTAAAGCATCGGTCACCATAGCATTCATAAACTCTTCATTGAGAAACTCCTCAAATCTCATCAATTTTTCTATATCTATATGTTTATCTGCGAGGGTACAACCATCAATTCGCACAATTTTGCCTTTGTATGGATGACATGCAACCGACATCATAATCCCTTTGCGAGGATTATGGTTTGGAACATACCCGTATCTCCAGCCTTCGATTGCATCGTTGTAATCAATATTTGAAACATCGCTTAACACTAACTCCCCAGTGGACTTTCGCGTTTCAAATTTGGTTAAGATTGGACGAGCGAGCTAATATCAAGGAAAAATAACAGATTTAGAATGTAGAATTCGTGCGCAAATCTTCATTTATTTTAATTATTCAAACCTTGACTCCTTTATTTGCCAGATTTTTATAGTTCCATGGGCGAAGTTTTGTCTCGAATTTGTCTTTTATGTTCTCTGATCCTTGCTGCTCTATAAGTTCAATAAAATTTTTATAGTTCCTTAGACGAAATCTTTGATCGATCTCATTTATTTCACTATCGTTGTTGTTTTTAGGCTGCGAATCTTTAGTAGTAGTTTCTAATTCGTAACTGTCTTCAGAGAATTCGATCAAGTTTTCCAAGTTCCATGGGCGAAATTGGGATTCGTGATTGTTGTTATCGATGTCACGTTTATTGTTCATTTTTGCAATATTTTAATTTGTCTATGAGAATGGAAATATCCTATGTATATATATGGAAAATGAAAAAATAAGGTAAATATATGACTTGGTGAATTGTTTTTGGACATAATTATATATTTTTGTCCATCATAATAATACATGTTGGTTTTTTTAATTCAAGTAATGATGCATAGTGATTAATCGATTAATCGTTCGTACTCATGATGCATACTCGTATCGAATCAAATGGTGTGTTTTGAATTGATTGATTTTTATCTGTCAAATTTTTTTATTTTAAGTGAAAGATGGATATCGATATATGGATGGATAAATAAATATTTTTTATTGTGCTAGTAATACATGTACGTATATTATAGTTGGCTTAATGACGACGTTATTTGAATCTGTAGGTTTTATTCTGCATGCAAAATCTATATTTCATGTGATATTTTCATATTTAATTGTCGATAATTTCTTAAGTAATAAAAACATTATAAAATATTTAATGTTGTTTTTAACGCTTAGAGTTGAGTATGTCTGTTCCTTAAATAACCAATCCTTAAGTTTCTAAATTACAAGTTTTCTGCTAAATAAACATATTTTGAGGAAACATGATGTCATATTATTTTCTTCATTGATTGAATTTCGGCAGAAACTTCTACGATCCGTTGCGATGATGTCGAGTCGTCAGGAAAATAAGTCATATTATCAGTTGAAGGTAATGAGAGAGCCACAAAAGGAGGTTCATAAAAAATTTGATTAGGAGATGATACATTTTGATCGTTGAATCCTAAAGAGTGATTCTCTGGCGTTTCATTAAAAGTGGAGATAAGATCATTACTACTGATTGTGTATCCGTTAAAGTCTTCCAAAATTACAGTTTCAGAAATTTGTTGGTGCATCGGATGATTGTGCATAAACTGGTAAATTGGATGATTGTTCACAACGATAAATTCAGAAGCTTGTTGGTACATCGGATGATTGTTCATAACGATGAATTCAGAAGTTGCGAAATCCTGATTTCGTTCGAGATTGTAAGTCTTCTGAACTATATGTTGTTCGTTTTGAACTATATGTTGCTCGTCAGAACTAATCGTCGTAGTATGATCTTTTAATGGAAACACTCCAATATGTTTTTTATAATCATCATCAAACTTTTTTGATCTTTTTTGTGGCGCAGATTTTCGATTTTGATTACTTCTCTTTGGCCTATATACATAGTTAGGATACATTTCAGCATGTTTTTGTTTTGCCATCTTACTCAAGAGTTCCCAGCCACGTTTAATTTGCTCTGGTTCTTTTTTCCAACTTTCAGAGGCTTTTTTTGAAATATCTTCTAGTGGACCCGGTTGGTGGTTTATTCTATATAATAACCAACTATTCTTAGGACGTGGTGGCGGATTTCTTCTTTTTGGTGTGATGAGCTCGTTTATACTTCGATTGAGGGTTGGGAAAATACGTTGAATGTCGAGATGATTTTCGTCAATTTGTTCATCGTCTATAAAGGTGTTCATTTTTTCAATAACTTAACCATTAATGATATTTTGAAATCTTATGAAAGCTTGTTTTTTTTTTTGAGTATTGGGACTTCGACGAGAAATTAATTAAAAGCATTTCAGACTCTCTTTTATATCTATCAAATCTTATTACTATTATCTTTTATATCTATCAATTCTTATTACTCGTTTGTTTTCTAAAAATCTTTTCTTTAAGATACAAAAAAAATGCGCCTTCGAATTGATTCATTCTATTGTTTATGCCCTTTCGTTACTTTTTTCTTTATTAAATTAGCAAGCCAAAAAATCTTAACATTTAAAATTCTTCTCCGAATAAACTGTGTTTATTTTTTTTTAAACCTTTAAATGAATAATCCGTTATATTTTTATGGTTCACTAGCGCTATGCGACATGTGGCAAATATATGTATTCAAATTTAACATACCGATACATAAATGACTCTAATCTTTTTCGATTATCCAAATCAGTTTATCCCTTCATGCATTTTTATGACTCCCTATCTGAATTATTCTCTGCAGAAAACCCATTTAACAACGGACTTGTTAACCAACAACAATTAACAAATTAATTCAACAACTTCAGACCTTTAAATAAATAATCCGTTTTTAGTATTTTATGGTTTAGTACTTGATAATTAAAGGCCCATTATTTTTTGTTTAACAAGTTCGCGTGTGTCGGCGCTATGCGACATGTATGCATTCCAATTTAAACGTAGCTTTACATAATAAATGACTCCAAGCTTTTTCAATTTTTTCATGACTTCCTATCTGAATTGTTCTCTGCAGAACATCCGTTTTAACGACGAACTTGTTATTTGGAAAATTACTAACCAAAATAACCAATCGATTATTTCAACAACTTCAAGAACGATATAAAAATAGACACGTATGTTTTTCTGGAATGATAAAGTTTGCTGTGCATTTCTCAATTTTTGGCATTTCACTGTTTCCATCCTAGTCGATAGTTCTTTGTCATCATGATTATGGATCAATAAAGGAAATTTTCATTGGATATCAAATTATTTGATTGGTTGGTTGTCGGGTGAGTACATATTGAAGTGTTGAGTATTGTGTGCAAGTCTAGCATCTCCTTCACCACGGAGAAAAATATCTATACACGGTATACATTTACTTATTGGTTAGTTTATTTATGTATTATTTACTTTATAACTAACGCTAAAGAGAAAGTGTATTGCGAATTCGATTTTCACGCTATAAATTTTGATGATCTATACCATACCATATCGATATTACGTAATTTAAATTCATCGTTAAAAATCGTAAATTTCGGGCGAAAACAAGTTTCGCCCAATTTAATCTACAAAGTGTTTCCAAAATAAGGTTTCGGACTTATAAGGGGAAATTGAAAGCTCATGTTTCGGATTTTGAAATATAGTTTCGCCCGAAACACACAAAGACTCTTCAAACGTACACTCACAACCGACAGATATTTTGTGAAATTAATTACTCCCTCTTGATTAACATCGTAGTGTTAACACTGAAACTGGGATATATGAACTGCGGTCGTCCCTCCATGTAATCATGTCCTCGGGACCAGAAAAAAGAAGTTGTGACTGTATGGAGGTTCAATTTTTTATGCTCTATATTAGCTAGAACTGAAAAAAGGTGTGGAGAGGATGTGACTATGCAGGAGGTGACTATAGAGGTATGACTGGAAATTTTGCTTCCATACAGTAACAACCTCTTTAAAGCCCAGTCCCGAAGTATGATTATATATGGAGAAACTTTAACTTAATTATCATTATATAGTCTTCCACAGTATATTTTCAGTTGGTATTATTATTCGTTGTCTTTATTAATGGTTTAGCAAATTTTTCTTTTAAGAATTTATTAACCAATTAGACACACATCTGCTTTTTCATATTTTACTTTTCAAATCCTCGTGATAATACGATGTATAATGTGTCCACCACTAAATTTTACTCAGAATGGCTCTGCTACTCAAATAAAATTACAAAGACTGGTTTCATCAAACATCCTTGTATAATATATGGATACAAAAATCTTAAAAAAATTTATCACTATCAATTTCATATAGTAATAATCAATATTGAAATTATTATTGATTATACTAATTGCTCGCTCATGATATTTCTGCTGATACCTTCACGGATAATGTAATTCTGTATGATATTTTTCAATCACTGTCTGTGTGATAGAACATCATCCGTGAAGATATTGTCAGAAATATCATGAGTATTAGTCTCCGTGAAATAAGTCAGATATCAACCTCGATATCATCATCAATACTACAGCGGAGCCGTGATATTGATGACATCTACAACATTTCGTGAGATATCTATCACTAATCAATTATTTATAATAATCATTAGCAATTCATAGTTAATTATTTATAATTACTAATAGATATTAAAATTTCTTGATGATGTTATTATATAATGTATTAGATAATTTCTGTAAAAATTAACAAAATAATAAAGATTTTGTTAAGTAATTTCCTAAATAAGATTATTTTCCATAAGAATAAATGTATTTGTAGCAATTGTTATTTGTAATAATTGGCTAAAGTTAGGATTATAAGTAGGAATCTGGATATGTGATTGGTTAATATTGAAGTTATTACATGTAATCATCGTTACAATTAGATTGAACATTTCCATAATATAAAATAATAATTTGGAATATTTAAATAACTTATTCAAATATAAATTATTTTTATATCAAAATAATCAAACTTTACATTTTAATATCTGTTTTCAGGTTTTTCGAATTCAAACTAAAACTCACTCTGATTATAAAGTTATTATAAGTATTTACTAATTAATTATTCAAGAAAAATTTTAAAATAACTTTACAATTAAATAAAAAAAATATAGATTAAAATACAAAATCTGATATTTTTTAATATAAAAATAAAAAATATTAATTAATAAATTAAAAGCCTTTTATAGAAAAAAATTCATATTTATTATATTTTATTAATAAATTTTTGATACTATTATATTTTTTATTATTACAATAATTAAGTCAAATTTTAAAAATGTTATTTACAAAAACTTAAATATATAATATATAATATAAAAGATCATGATAAAAAATAGATTATAATAAAAATTTTGGCTAAAATTATACAAATTATGAATATAATCTAAATTTATAAATTTTATTTATAATTTGCTTAAAATATTTAATTTATTTTGTAATTAATTCTATAGTATTATTATAAAATATTTTTAAAATTTAAGATAATAATAAATATTTTTTAAAATTATTTATTTTTAATTTATAAAATAAAAAATAGTTACATATTAGTAAAATTAAAACTTTTATATAAAGAAAAAAATCTATATTTTTTATATTTTATTAATAATTTTTTTATATTATATTATTTTTAATTATTACTATAAGATTACACAAATATTTTAAAGTTTAAATTTGAATTAAACTTATTAAATCAGGTTCAGATTTGAATATTTTTAATAATAAATTAGTTAATTAGTTTTAAATAAGATTATAAACTATAATTAAAACTATAAATTAATATAAAATAATTAATATTTATAATCAATATTAGAGAATTAAAAAGTATTTTTAATAATTATAATTTTAATTTACTTTTATTATATTAATATAGTATTTATTTTTTAATAGAAAAGATAAATTATTATAAGTAAAATTATAAAATATAATTAAAACTACAAATAATAATATAAATAATAAATATTTATAGAATTATATAATAATTATGATAAATATTTATTAATATAAAAACAAAAATATTTCAGTTTTGTCTAAGTTTTATTTTTAATAAAAAATATAAACTATAACTATAAATAAAGTTGTAAAACATATTTAAAGCTACAAATTTAAAACTTTCTTATATGAAAATAATTTTGAATAAAAAATATATACATACCTAAATTATATACTTTCATTTAATGTTAATATCTTCACGTCTAGATTTTTGTTATGAAAGTACAATCTCGATTCCTGGTCACATGTACTTCATAGACCAATAAGGATGTGTATTTCCAGTTATTATTAATATTGTATGGCTTGGGATATTTTAATTGGGATTCGTTGATTGGTTGTCACATGTTGATCATGTGGCAAGTACACGTGGCTTATCTACACAACCCCCTAAATGTGTACATAACGATAAACTATATCTCAACTTCAACCATAATTATTATTAAATATAATATTATAAAGAATGTTGATTTGTCTTAAAATGTTATGTTAAACTAGTTTTGCTGAATTTGTCTCATCTTTCAGGGTATTCTGGGGAGGGTACTTTATTAGGGGGATACACTATTAGGGGGGTATTCTATACAGTAATATACGGTACATGTATTTTATTCCGCAAAATGCGGTATTGTGTTATCGTTGTGAACACTAGCGCTAGTATTCAAAATTTAGAATCCACCTTATATATGGGTATGAAATAATAATAATGATGATGATGATTTATCGTGTAAGAAGTCGATTTCTGCGTTATGAAATTGAATAACATAGGAAGAGAAAATATTAATTTTGTTAGTCACTAATTAAACTTAAAATAAAGGAAGAGAAAATATTAATTTTTTGCTAAATTGTTAGTCTCTAATTAAAAGTAAAATCTATTGTTCCTTTTCACTTGATTCACTTTGTCTTAATTCAATAAAACGAAACCTTCCCCTTTTATTTGATCCTTTCGACACGCATTCCATAGTATGTTTGCTGGTCGTTTTATGCTCATTAAAATCTAGTGTTTGTTAAAAAAAATAGTATATACAATATTTTAAAACGTTGAGACTCCGTCGTCGTTGTTAACGTAAAAACTTACGTTGTGTTTGGATATTCTTTCGGGCATCTTTTCCATCATTCTCAACATCAATATTAAACTCTTGTGAGACATATGCTAGCATTACATTATAAAATAAAATATATATATATATATACAATCAAAGTTATGTATAATTCATAAATTTTACCTTCATTTGTTTCATTTTGAATATCTATATCATATTCAGTAGT